GGGGGAGAGGCGCGGCGAGCCACACGCACGGAAAATATCGATGTGCGCTTGGCCATGCGATCCTGCCTCGGGAGGCAAACAAACAAAGCGAGGGGCTTAAAACATAAACAGGGGGTTCGGGGGAGGCTTCCGCCTTTTTTTTTTTTGGTGTAAAATAAAATAAAAAAGAAAATAGAAGAGGGAACGGCCGCCCTGGTTGTTTGGGCTTTTAAACCACTTGTGCGGGAGCAGAGGAGTCGATCTGCATGTGTTGTGAATGTGCCTCCGAGAGCAGATGCTTTAGGAGTTTTCCTTGTCCCTTCCCTTTCTCGAAAAAGAGGGAACGGCCGCCCTGGTTGTTTGGGCTTTTAAACCACTTGTGCGGGAGCAGAGGAGTCGATCTGCATGTGTTGTGAATGTGCCTCCGAGAGCAGATGCTTTAGGAGTTTTCCTTGTCCCTTCCCTTTCTCGAAAAAGAAACAAAAACAAAACCGAAAAGAAAAAACCCACCCCCAAAACCCACCCTGCCATTGTTATTTGGAAACCGGATTCTTACATGGCAGGGATAAAAAAGCGTACAGCCAGCACACACACACACACACGCCCGTGCACACACACACAGAGCAAACAAGTCCCCTTCCCCTCCCCCTCCAGTAAATACATGTCTGGCCCCTGCTTCGGTTTGTTTTGTAGCGGTTGAAAAATAATCATCTCGGGGCCAGCAGCTCACCGATAAATAAGGCTTTGTGAAAATTAAAACCCGACGTAACATTTGTCGTCTTAACCGTCCTGCACTTAACCTTGCGTCTCGATCCCCACCGGCTCCGTGCTTGGCGGAGAAGCAACCCGAAATACAGGGGTTTGTGTGGTTTGGTGGGGCTTTTTGAAATTCCCCCTGCGGCATTCCTCCTGTGACTCCTCGCGGCATTAAATCCCGCATCAGGCACAGGCACGCTCAAACCTGGACCCAGCTTCCGAGCAGGGATTTTACAGCGAGAGAAAGAGATATAGACAGACAGACAGACAGATAGACGGAAGGAAGGAAGGAAGGAAGGAAGAAAGGAAGGAAGGAAGGAAGGAAGGAAGGAAGGAAGGAAGGAAGGAAGGAAGGAAGGAAGGAAGGAAGGAAGGAAGGAAGGAAGGAAGGAAGGAAGGAAGGCAGGCAGGCAAAGGTAACACTGCCCACCAGCTAGGGTTGTCTAAATAAGGTTTTCTCCATCACTGTCACTAAATAGTTAAAATATTTCCAAGCCTGTCCGAAAGTGGCTGAAATGTGCCAGTACCGGACATTACTTTTTGCACAAGGCGAGGATTTATTTTGGGAAGAAGTGGGATTCCTTCTAATCCGAAATGGGCATTAGAAGATAAACTGAATATTAATGTAGAGCTACACCTCTGATGCCAACAGCCCTCTCCTCTTCGCCACGCTGTCACTCGGTCCTGTCTTTGCAGGCAGGAGTGTCTGCTCCCCAGATACTGCCTTCCCAGGCTGCAGCTTGGGAGCATATGCTGTCCTTGTCCTGACCCCCCAGGCTCCCAGGGACAGACCACGAACAAATTCTATTTTCCTTCCCTGAAAGGTTCCTGAGGCAGAGGTCTGAGAAGTGTTCTCCACCGCTGCTGGGGATTTCGAGAGCCCAAGTTGGGAGGGGAAAGCTTGGTCTCCTGCATCGTCTGCCTCCGGATTAGTGAAAAAAATCATACGGACAACTAGAACCTTGAATGCACTTTCTTTTTTTCCTCCCAAATTTAGAAGAAGTTACTACATCTGAGATTAGAAAGGGAACCAAAATGTCCAGGAAAATTCCCAGTTAAAAATACTGTTTTGAAGGGGAAAAAAAAAAAAAAAGTGAATGTTCATGCAAATACCTACCTTCTGGATTTTCACCTTGTTCTTCTTTCTTCCCTCTCTCTCTTTCCTTTCCTTCCTTCCTTCCTTCCTTCCTTCCTTCCTTCCTTCCTTCCTTCCTTCCTTCCTTCCT